GAGCTTCGTCATTTCTGTTCGTGTTCATATTGTTAGGATAAAATCAAGGAATGCGTGGAATATATCAGAAACGCGTACACAGTTTTAGTCTACAAATTCGAAGGGAAGAGGTCACAGGCGCAGATGTGAGTATAATATTAAAATGAATTTGAAGACTCGGGACGTGAGGATGTATCTTAGTCTTAGTTGCGATAACTCCCAGTGGCGTTAGTTTAGTTTCCAGCTCCACAAAAAGGCGCATTTTGGCGCAAGCAGCGGCTGTGCGCAGAATCGGCCAGTCCTGGGGCGCAGAGTGTTTATTAACACGCGTGCACGAAGAGAGTGCTGTGACTTACCGCAGAAATTTTGACGACAGACCACCAAGCGAAGCCACCGTTGACCGATGCCAGGAAGAACTCGCTGTCTTCTACTCCGACAGCGGTCCACGGCGTTGAATGAGCTGATAAGATAGCGACTGCAGTCAACACGTCGCTTAAAATAGGGTTCGCAGTCTGTGATCCGCGGGTCGCTGCTCTGGCTGTGATTGTCACAGAAGGCCGAAAGACACAGCCCAAACGTTCAACGGACCCGATTTAAAATGGGGCCTATTTAACGGAATGCGTCGTGTTTTATGATCATAAAAAATGTATCTGGAAACGTCTGTGTTTTGAGTTACATCTACTTGAAGTTTATAGATTCTGAGGTGGAAATTTCTCCGCCAATATGGCAGTTGTCGCCTGTCAAATGTCGTTTGTCATGATTTCGGACACCGCGAATTAAATAAGCAATGTCTTAATCAAACTTTACTCGATTGTAAAGCATGTCTAAAGGAAATATTTAGAATAAAGCCAAAATATAAACTTCCTCACCGTATAGACGTATTTACGTCAAATTCTCCGGAACCGTGGCTCCACTGACAACTTTTATTTTCTGATTTCAGTGCAATTTTTTTCTGACAAACAGAACACGAGTCAGGAATGGATCTCGTGAATTTTCGAACATTCTGTCTTTGTTTTTGAATGTGACTCCCCGTGGCTTTAACAAATGAGGCGCAGTAAGGCTAACAAACAAACAAACAAGCTCTGTGAGCGTCGAAGTGTCGTGTGATAACAGACAGTTGGTGTGACGTGTCGGAACACAGATAAGAGGAAATCGTTCGAGGTCGCTGCAAGCCATTTGGCAAACTGCTATCAAAATGTCAATGTCCGTGGGTTTCCGAGCTCGCGTAGAAACCAACTGATATTCTGTAGGGTTTGAGGTTTCCAGGGCGGTCAGTTAGCGGAATACCGTCTTCTGGATTGTTGACGTTTCAGAGGTACTTCCTGCCTCCATCATCAGGGCGAGGGGTCACAACCAAGAAGGCAGCCATCTTGAAATTGATATTCTGTTCCGCATTTGCAAAACGACTTGTCACAAGAAAAAGGTTTTGACGGAAACGAGCAGTGTTATTCCATTGTTTGTGTTCTTGTACGTTCATTAACTGTCTTCGTGGAAAGTACTTACGTAACGTCGAAATGTCTTGCGAAAATGTTATCGCTGTCACATGAAGTAATTGCCTCGAGTCCCGCTTCGTTTTCCCGCTGTGCTAGTTTGTTTTGTCGCAGATGAGTTGTTCGGTCAGACCGGGGGCCATTTGCCACTGCGCTTCCTGGCGTCGCTCAGAGCCTCAGAATTACCGGGTGAGTCTGTGAATCAGCTGCTTTAAACCACGCTAATTAACGTCGCATTCAGACGCCGGGCGTTTGAAATAGAGGCGGCTCTGTGTCATTTGACGTCTTCCGGTGGCGTCTTCACGTCTTTCTTGTTGCTGTTACGATGAGGTGGAACTGCGGCCATTCCCCGGATGCTCCGTGAGTGAACGTGGATTGATGCTGACAGGGGACAACTCGGTCCCTCTTTGTCCGCCACAAATCCCACATGGACTGACCTGGGCACGAAGGCGAGCCTATGCAATTCACCGGCGCGGACGGGCAGTGGATTTTGCAGAATAAGTGAAATGTCGAAGGAACTGCAACATTTGATTTGCTCTTGCGTAATCCAAATTTAGAGTTGAGCATTCAAAGCGTAGCGAGACCGTAACATTGCATTTTTGATTCTGTATTTTCAAAGAGTTCTTTCTGTGTTTCGACTTTTGTCATTTAAGAATTCAGTATTTGGAACGGAGTGTTGTCTATGCTGATACCAACTTTTCTGTTAGTTTATTTTCTGAAGTGTTTAATGGAAACATTAGGTTTCAATGAGATACTCCTGTTGAAAGTCATTTCTCGAAGAAGCTAAGGTTTGTCGAGAGAGGCCACGCCTCAGTCATAGAGTCTTCAATGAAAGAGATGATGTCTTGTAGGTGATTATAGGTGGCAAATGTGGATTCTGACTCCAAAGGCATCCGAGGTACCGGTTCGGCAGTTTGAACTTCGCCGCCATCGACTTCTTCTTAACGGAAAGGCCCAACCTTGGTCGGGTTGGAAGAACGAAATGTGCTCCGAGAAATATTTTTGCGGTGGCTGGACGTACCAACAGCGCACATCCATAAAATACTCGTGCGTTTGAAGCCTCATTTTCTCAGCGAAGTAAAATCCCATAGGACGTGTACTTTGAAAGGGAACACTTAATGGTCAGTCCTTATGAAGTTCGTCAGAGAGGGAAGAGCGACGTTCTTTTGCAGACGTTGGTGGTCGTTAACATTTTCACGTGCAGGGCGAGAAGGGTCTGAAGGTTGGAACCCGTGAGGTCAGAGGCGAAGAATAAGGTGGACATTTTTAATTGGAATATTTTGTAATAAATGATAAAGTATGCGAAAACAGAATGACATTCAGTACAGGCGTTGTGAGATGAAGGAATATTGAAATTTACTTCCATACAGCTGGATGTTGGTGTGTGAAGAAAAGTAGGGAAGGGGAGTGTAGGTTTTTGGTCACAAGAAAGATGTTCGTTCATCGGTGTCGGTCCAACTGAGCTGGTTAGGTTAGACTGCGCTCTACAAGACTGCAAGAATCCGGTGTCGGAGGGACACAATTTTGCTTAAAGACAAATGATCCGAAAGAATTAAAGATGTAAAATGAGAACGAGTCTTTTGACTAACTGCGAGGTACCGGCCGGAACAGATGGTACCATGGGCTTTCATTGATCACGAAATAAGCATAGGAGGCTGTAGCAGCCTTTATGAAAGACCGAGTGAGTTAGGAAATCACAATTTGTATTTCTCTGTCTTGTAGCTTGAACAGAAATGGGTCAAATTTGGGCGTGTTGTCTGGTGGTACTTATGCTGTGCACGAAATTCGAGGGTGATGGTGCGAGGATCCTCGGCATCTTCCCCTCTCCCTCCTTCAGCCACCAGCTCGTCTTTCAGACCATAATGAAGGCCCTGGCAGCTCGTGGTCATCATGTGACTGTAATTAGCACGGATCCACTCAAGGTCGGTCACTTCCACGCCTTGTGTGGTGCTCATTGCTCAGAACGTGGCTCACATCTTACACACTTTGGATTTTCTGTGGCACTGATTTCAAGGGATCGTTATAAATATTATTAAAGTAAAAAGAACGTACATGATCACAGTGAAAATTGCGACTTGTTTCCCCGAAAGATTGCGACTCTACCAACTGTGGAGGTAACTTAGCATCGGGTGAGGTTAGGTTATGTAGGATGTTACGGAATTGGATGAGAATGCCAAGAAAGCAACCAATCATAGAGCTCATCAAGAGCTGAGTCCTGCGCAAGCGCAAGGCATCGTCCCATGTTGTGTTACACCATTCCTGTTTAAGAAACGCAATGCTGGAAATGGTAAACAGTGCCTTCATGCTGTAACGGCCGTGCGCATGCGCTAACGGGCCTTGGCTTTAAATCCTGAGCTAATTTGCCTCATTTACTTTTGCTTTCAATTAAGTGCAAGTTGTGTGCTTTTGTGTGGAAAAAAACACACGTAAAATGTTGGTTACCTAAGTTTCACGTCACACGTGCTCATAAAAAATAGTGATTTATTGCAATAGTCAGAAATCCTAATGGCACTGCGTTTTGCCAGGAACGCGTCGGCAACTACACAGACGTTGACCTGTCGTTCATGTACGACTATGTGAGGGAGAGGTTTAACTTCACGGATTATCACGACCTCACTGCTTTCGGCTCTGTGCTGTGGTTCTCCCTACAAGTCGGAATTGGGTGCAACATGGAGCTCAGTTCGCCCGCAGTGCAGGACTTCATAAGGTGAGTAAAACATTTCGACAAAGGCGATAGCATTTGAAGTCGCTGCGTTGGCCACCAGAGTCCAGGGGAGAAAGGACAGGTTGAGCCATGGGGACTGAGTTCACAGGGGAACTTCCCGGAAGTCAAAAAGGCGTTGGTGGCAACCGAACTGTGACTTTGGGTTCTAAACTTCGACCTCGCCTTTTCCCTGTTCCGGAGAGATGAGGGACGATCAGCGGTTTCTTGTCCAGTCTGCCTTTGATAAATGGAGTGCACGGTAGCAGACAGCAGAACAAAGATAATACGTCATTTTCTCAGGTGTCACCCGAGCACCAACACGAGTTTCGATCTGGTTTTCATGGAAATGAGCCGGTACCAGTGTTACTACGGCCTGATCCACCACGTCGGGTCTCCCCCAGTGATTGGCATCCGGTCCATTGGCGTCACTGCTGCCACTCTGGCCGCCGTTGGGAGTCCCAACAATCCTGCGTACTTTCCAGACTCGTACCTTCCATACACCGGTCACATGACGTTTTTCCAGCGTCTGTGTAACACTGCCTTCTACGTCTGGAACAGGTACGTCTACAATTCTGCAGTAGAGACACCACCCCGGAGTCTCATTTTAAGATGTTCTAATGTTGCAATTTAAAGTTTCGTGCAGAAAGTATGCCCGGCGAGAAACTTCGGGAGGTTTTGTGGGTAGTACTGAAGTCAGAGCATACGAAATTGTCAACTTTGGTAATACGTCATTTGTTTGTTGGTTAGACGTTTCCAACCAGTACGTAGGAAAAAGAAGGCCTAATATAACAGTTTGTTCGGTTTTCATTCGACTTCGCTGGAAACGGCGCACTTGTAGTGAGGAGAGTATTGAAACTTGGCAAGATTCTGTCCAGTTTCGAGGCTTCATACCTTCAGTGTTCGCTAACATTGCTCAGAAACACTCAGTGGATATTTTACTCACGAATTTCGCTTGTTGTCGACACAGCGTTCTATGGCACGCGATTGTTCTACCGATAAATGAGTTGGTCATGCGCTATCACTTCGGCCGTGGTCCTCCGTCAGTCTGGGAGGCCGAGAAAAACGTCAGCCTCGTGATGGTGAACAGCCACTGGAGTCAGAGCTACCCGCTGCCCCTTCTTCCCGCGGTCATACAACTCGGAAACATCCACATCCAGGAGAAGCCGAAACAACTTCCTCAGGTCAGTTGAAGAGTGCGAACTGAGTCACGACGCTTCCTTCCTAGTCCTCTCCAATTCAATATTCATTAATAATGAGAAGGTGAGTGACCCCTGAAGTCCTGCGACAGTGGCTGGAGTCTCAGGTGTTGTTGTTTGCCGCGAAGGACCTGCAGGAGTTCCTGGACGGAGCTGCGAAGGGGGCAGTCTACTTCAGCCTGGGCAGCAATGTGAGAAGCGAGACGATGTCGCCAGAGAAGAGGCGGGTGTTCCTGTCTGCCTTTGCGGATGTACCCCAACGCGTCCTGTGGAAGTGGGAGGCGAACGACACGTCGGATGTGCCCGATAACGTGAAGCTAGCGAAGTGGCTGCCTCAACAAGACGTTCTGGGTGAGTATTTTGTCACGTGGCAACTGTCGAGTCTCCAGAATGGACGAAGGAAATGAAGCTCGAGTGTCCTCTGTACGCGTCTAGCTCATCCGAACGTGAGGCTGTTCATAACACAGGGCGGCCTGCAGAGTTTCCAAGAAGCCACGTATTACGCGGTGCCTCTGATAGGAATACCCTTCATCGCCGACCAGCAACACAATGTTCGCAAAATGGTGGACGCTGGCGTCGGGCTGCAACTGGACTATGCCACCCTTTCCAAGGATGGGCTGGTGACAGCCACCAGGAAGGTTCTCCATGATCCCACGTGAGTAAATTCTTTCTGAAATGTGTACCTGCACGACGGTTTCTGATGGAACTGAATCTGCGTTCGATCTTTGCCACTTCGCTACGACTCCTTACCTCAAGTCACACTTCCGTGCTTATCTTCTTTTCTCCCTGCCGACGTTTGTTTCAGTTAATCGATTTCAACGAAACGTGGCATGAGTGTTACGTCATTGGAGTCCATCCGTGTATCTTTTATCATCAAAATGGCGGGGGTAGAAGTATATGACGGTTGCTTTACCATGAATCACGTTGAAGGCACTGCTTAACTCTTTATTTTATTTAAAATGTGGAATTTCTAAGCCTTGTTCAGAAATGGGATTCACAATCAACCCATCATATTGGGCATCATTTATGAAAACAAAATGCGTCCTTAATTAATTCTTTCCTTAGTTTCAGAGAAAATATGCTGAAGTTTTCAACCGTGGCAAAGGATAGGCCAGACAAACCATTAGACAGCGCAGTCTGGTGGGCGGAGTATGTACTTCGACATAATGGCGCCCGTCACCTTCGGTCAGCTGCGTTAGACTTGACTTGGTACCAATATTTCTTGCTGGATGTCATGGCAACCGCGTTGTTCGTCCTTCTGCTAGCCTCGTATCTAACCTACGTGATCGTGCGCTGGACATTCCACCGCCTTGTAGGTCGCTGTTCGAGTGCAGCCAGACATGACGTTAATGAAAACTGCGTGGTTACTAAGAAATTACGCTAGTTTTGTTGTGCGATGGTTTAAGAATTCTGTTCTTACGGAAACTGATGGGAACAATTTTTACGATCGGCCCTCATCGACATTCCAACATAAAAATCTCTTGGCACTGTTCAGAAAGATGGAACGTGCGTTCTTCGTAGTATCGTGTATCCCTCGGGCCAGTGTTTTAAACGATAACGGACGAAATGAACACGTTAATTTTTCATAGCGAATTTAGTAATCAGTGCAAAGTGAATCTCCAAATGTCTCTGTGTTCGTGAGAAACAATGAAACACGAGGTATCCTACACAAGAGACGTGCTAACTTTTGGAAAACCAGACGTAAACAATGTTATTTGAAAGGAGTTGTTCACGAGAACCATGATTTTACATTTAATATCCATAAAAATTAATTTTATTTTTCATGCGTGTTTTGAAACTAATTAAAATAATTAGTCAGGTCTATTTCGTCTGTGTATCCGCCCTTAAATAACGGAACCAGAGGACTAGTTGGTGCTTGTGGTCGGTAGAGAGCATTTGTGTCCTACATTAAACGTCGGCTGAATATTTTAACCTTGGTTGAGATTAAGGACTGGTTTATGTAAAAATGCCGATGAACGCTTCGTGCATGTTCTGATTTCGTTGATGTACAGATGTGTTAAGTCTTGACAGTGCACGACTATTACTGTGTGTGGGAGACTGATTGTTTTATCAGTCTAAAGACTGCATTTGTACTCAAACAGCATTTTCGACTCATCTCGCCGAGTATTCGGATTTGAAAGAGCCCAGGTCTATACGGAGGACTCGCTGATTTTGATAAAGTCACTAACGTGAGAATGGCTAATACATGGGGTCTATTGAAAACGTAAAATTGTTTTAGTCGTCCTGCTCGATGCTGTGCTCAGTTCATGTGCACGGCGTCGTCCTGTGCCTGGTCAGCGTACCTTTCCTGTACTATCCCAGTGTTACTCTATACATGTATTTTTTAAAGCAGAATCGCGCACATCTCGATCGATTATCCTGCGCCAAAGGAATCGACTGTGTCCCCTCCGGTGCATCGCCTCCGTGACCTGACAAAGACAACTATTTCGGGTATTTACATGGAGGTACAGAGTAACGAAAAACTTTGGTCAGAATATCAACCTTCTGCACCCAATTTTGAAGCACAAAACTCTCGAATATAAAGTGGAGTGCTAACCACTCGACAGTTTTATGGAAATCTGTGGCTCTTAGACGAACTACTTCAAGAAGCTGAGACTTTCTTGGGAAGCTAATAGTCGTTCACCTGGTCGATATCTTATATTTATTTATAGTTTATTTAACGATGCTTGATATATAGCTCAATGTATTCAACGCGAGGTTGACAGTGAATATTTTTTTGGGAAGGAAGCGATCGTGGCTGGAATTTACCTGGAGAGACTGAGGAAAAACCACGAAATCCCTTAGTCAGAGTAGCAGGACTCTGGGCTGAGAGTTGAACCCGAGGCTTTCCGAAGTTGAAGCAAGAGTACTTACCATTCGACCAAGAAGAACGTTGAAGGAATTCCTCCTCGCCTTTATGAAACCGGAAGACTCATTTCCATGTTCGCAAGAGCCGACTTCCGGTTCCTGTCCTGTGAGAGGTGAATCCGATCCACACCACCGCTTTTATTTCCGATCCGTTTTAATATTATCCTGCCCTTTGAGCCTCACACGTGGCCTGTTCCCTTCCGATAAGACGGTGAAAGTGCGAAAGCAGTAACGACGAGACCGGCCTTCAAGGTCCGAGTCACGTGGTTGACTGATATCACCCCCATCACAAAAGCTTTTAGAACAGCCACGGCGTCTTTTCCGTGACAACGACCGTGCGAGAACCTGCCATAACAGAATCGGTAGAAAGAAAGCGAACTGTGACTAAACGGTAATTCAATTCAGTTTTTGTCAAATATAATTTCTCGTGCGCAAGAATAGTTATTATTTTTGCCTGAGTTACAATTTCATTTTGTTGGAGTGCCATTCAATCACGTGAAGAGCCAGTGCAGGTAAGAGTTTCAATGTGAGCTTTGTTTTAGTTGCGGGGAAGGAAGAGGAAACTCGACTCTTAATTACTACGCAGAAGACAGGTACTTTCATGTTTCTTAGGTGCTTTAATCATGTTTATGTCATAACAGCTGTAAGGCCCGTTTTAAGGCGCATCGCCGTTCTAATTCTAACCTTAACATTTTCGAAAGCACAAACTGAACAATAAAGAGTGGACAAGCAAATGAATCATTTTCGTTCTGTGACAGACGCTTATCGAAAAGACACGCAGTACATTCTCGACGTGTTCTACTTGCAGTTAAATTAATAAAGAAATTGTTGTACGAAGTGCTGAAAATGTCGACGGCGTTCAGCCTCGCAAGCGCTCATTTTTCCTCATGTCCGATGCGACTGAACACAGAACATCGACCGGAACACTTCTCGTGTCACGGAGGCGATGCGACGGAGGAAACGCTATCGATTTCTTTTGCACAGGAGAATTGAACGAGACGTGAGTGAGGCGGTGTTCGACGTCGAACACTCGTCGCTCTCGTGGAAAGGGCGTCCTCGCGCTTCGACTGTTGGAAGACAAGTGGCGGACGGAATGTCGCCTGCGGGTTACAACATTACGTGACGCGAGTCACTGCCACATCGTGCGTGTCTTAATTCAGTCCAATTGTATCGATGAACAATTTAATATGGTTTGCCTGACTTTGTAATCGCACTGTTTTACTACTGACTTTCATAAATACCTCGAAACATGACAAGAAAATTGTATGGTTTCTGTTTAGCACTGGACAAAGTTAATAATACGAGCGATACTTCTCACTTATTAATCGTCAATTCAGGCGTAAAGAACCGTTTGAGGTAGTCAGTGGATTAGATTCTTAAGATTTAAGAATTGTCTCAGTGTGTGTCAAAATGAGTAGAAACTTAAGCTCCACTGGACAATCTCAAAGGCGGTGTAGAAAACGGATACAACTTTGTTTGGTGAGAAGGGCAGTGCGGTGGGTGGGCTGCTTGGGCGGAAAATTAAAAAGAAATCTAAACATTTTACGTGGAAACTTTTAAGCTTGAAATGGAGTAAGGGTCAATGCAGGGCAACGGTCTGAGTGTCTTTAGAAGTATTTGCGTTCTGTCACATTCGTTCCGCGTGGCTTTAAACAGCGCGAAACTCAAATATAAGCTTCGTAGTTCAATCAGGGAAGTGGCCCATGGCCGCTTCGCCCGATACCTGGTATCACCGGCGTGCCAGATCACGCGTCAACCTTTGAGTCCTTCCGACACCCGCTCTCCGTGGAAGGACCGAATTTTGTTTCAGGGTTGTCCGTGGTTCCTGCACAACAGTTGCACGTATTTGGAGGTAAACTTTTGTTGCTTTCCTGACAAAACTTTGCAGCACAGGCCAGAGCGTTTCTCCATCACCCATGTCCTGAAAGTCTCCCTCACAGGCATTGCACTTAAGGCAAGTTACTTAAGACAGCGCAAACGCAGACTCGGTGTGGTGTTTGTCATCTCGGTCACTGGAGAGGCAGTCAGCCGTAGGAAAATCAGGCATCGAGAAATCAGTCGATTGAGCGGCCAGAAACAACCACGCAGAAGCTTCGTTTTTTTGACTGTCGCCTGCAAGACAAATTCGGAGGTCAGAGGAATTTTCAGGGCGAGGATCTTCATAAGTTACGCACGGCCTTCACCAGATAAATTTAATCTGATGGAATGGGGGAGGCTGAGATGGCCAGAGCATGTAGCACGAATGGGAGATACGAAACAGATTTACAGTCGGAAAACCTAGGCGTTGATGATTGGAAAATGTTTAGCGCACTTCAAAAAGGAGCTGGCTTGTTGATTTGACATTAGTTGCCTGCGTTCGCTGTAAGCGCACGGAAATTGTCAGTTGATAACCTTTTTCGGAGAAATGGATTCTGCTTTCGTTGTGTTGACATTTTGTCCAGAATTCGTGTTAAGAATAAACCGAACGTCGTGTGCCTTTCATACGGAATCAAAATGTTGACGTCTGTACTCTCTTCTTTGCTAGCTGAAATATGTTGTTAAGAAACTAGTTCTGTTCAAATTTTAATGTTGTTTACGCTGTCCGTATCCTTGTACGTTCATTAACTGTCTTCGTGGAAAGTACTTACGTAATGTCGAAATGTCTTGCGAAAATGTTATCGCTGTCACATGAAGTAATTGCCTCGAGTTCTGCTTCGTTTTCCCGCTGTGCTAGTTTGTTTTGTCGCAGATGAGTTGTTCGGTCAGACCGGGGGCCATTTGCCACTGCGCTTCCTGGCGTCGCTCAGAGCCTCAGAATTACCGGGTGAGTCTGTGAATCAGCTGCTTTAAACCACGCTAATTAACGTCGCATTCAGACGCCGGGCGTTTGAAATAGAGGCGGCTCTGTGTCATTTGACGTCTTCCGGTGGCGTCTTCACGTTCCACGCTTATATACTGACTGGTCTTCTGATTCTTTTCCGCCGCGAAGTCTTCTGTGCCCGTGTATAGTAATCGAGTTAATTCTTTATATCCGTTCCACTGGTAAATAAATATATTGCGCTAATCACAAAAGCCCGCCAATGGACTTTAACATGAAACATTTTAATCTAGTCCAAGCCTTCCACTTCTACAGACAAGTTTAATTGGCGACTGTGCCGTTCGTGGCCTTTATGCTGTGCGCTGACACCGAATCGGTTGGAGCCTTTCCTGCTCAGTCGTCTGCGGAAATACGTAGGTTACCGATTTTATGAATGTATGTCGGTTGTAGCTCGGACAGATTTAGGAAATGGATTTCTGTGTTTTCTGTTTTCTAGTGCGAACTGAAATGGATCTAATTCGGGCGAGTTGCCTGGTTGTTCTCCTGGCGTGCGCAGAATTCCAGGGTGATGGTGCCAGAATCCTGGGCATCTTCCCCTCTCCCTCCTTCAGCCACCAGCTTGTGTTTCAAACCATAATGAAGGCGCTTTCAGCACGTGGCCATCACGTGACTGTAATTAGCACGGATCCTCTCAAGGTCAGTCACTTTCACGTGCAGCACATTTCCATGCATTGCAAGAGCTTCATAATTACGCGTCTCAAACATTCCACGTTTCAATGATCTGTATTTTGATCGGGGTTTATCAAATTTGACGCAAACGCGTTCTTAAATTATCGCAAAGTGGTTTAAGGTTTAAGATTTCCGTCTTCTGGGTTGTTGCGCTGTGTAGTCTGGGCGATATTAACCAATTAACCAAACGGTTCGATTTGAAGGCAGTGACGTAATCAGAAAATGAGCGACTCTCAGTCATCCGAAGTAATTCACAGAACGTCGTAGTTTCCCGTCTTCGTCACGTGGTGCCTGAGATGTGGAGAATTGAATGCAGGCGAGACCCGAAGTGATTCTGCCGATGTTCTGTGGCGAGCATCTTGAAACAAATTCTGCTTGAAGATGACTGTGGGTGGAAAGTGCTTAAATCTTCAAGTTAGCGCACATTGGTAGCAAATTTCGTACGAAGTGAGGCTGTGTTGACCAAATTCGTGTCGTGGGTCAGGACGCCATCTACTGATTTTAATATTTAATGTTTTTCGCAGAGAAGGTCGTCTTTGATTTTGGTTTACCCAAGGAGCTTCACTAGGTCATGAAATACCGTTACAAATGGGCACAGTGAAGAAATGAATTAAGTAAAAGTATTTGGATGAATTTTGCATGATTTAAGGAGAGACAGTGCCGACAGGACTAAGAAAAGGCACTGTAACTCAGAACATCCTAATTATTTTTGATACTAGTGACAAGAGGTGACAGATATTTCGTAAATACTTGGTGGCTCGTTCAATGTTTGACAATAAAACGCGTTTTGAGTTGCTTATAACAATTTCGCTTTGCAGGTGCACAAAAT